TGTTTTTTAGCGAGACCAATTGTGTTGCCACGATATAGACATACAGTTATCGTTATAAAAGGGGATGACCGCAACGAATGTTATGGCAATACAAAAATGTTTTTATCGGTGCATTTTGTGATTTCGGTTATCGATTTACCCGTGAAGTGGGTAGAATTGTTGAAAGGTTGTAAACCTCTTCTAAAATTATGTCAACACACAACAAACTGTTAAGAAGTTTGTTACAGAGACACTGTTGTTGGTCATATAAAAAATGATATAAATAATCTCGTTATTCATAGTTATACTAAAATAGGACCGTATAATGAAGGAGTGAGCACTGGAGCCTGAGATTCAGGTTTAGAATATAAACCTCATTCAGACACAGAAGCTACTCAATTGTAACATTGAGTTTAAACCTATGTATAATTTTTTTTGAAAATAAATATTATTATTATTAAAATAGATAGTAGATAGAATAGTGCGTTTCGGTTATTTAACGGAAGCCTCTAGAAACTTATCTAAAATCACTGCGATAAAAGTAGAGAGAGGCAAATATCGAGTTGAAGAAGTGCACCGCAGCGGAAATTTGAAGGTTGAAGTAATAAGAGAGAAGGCGACAACACTATAATTACAATGGGTTATACTGATAAAATTATTTTAATTATTATTTTTCACAATTAATTCTGATGAACAGTACCAGATTATTTCTTGTCGTGCGAATGTTCTGTATAAAGAACATAAAAAGACCATAGGGCCTTGTGGGCAGGGCAGACACGCCATATAAGTATGAACAAATGTCCCAAGTCATGGAACTACATACGCAATAAAATATAAGTGCGCGTGAGTGAATTATGCAGCGCTGCGATGGCTACGACTTGTAATTGAATTTGCGTGGGTGTGCGTAACTTCGTATCTATTAATTTACATCAGTGGTGGTGATCGAAAGTGCTAACGTTGACTGATGGCCATTCCTAACTTTTTTTTCTCCGTATATGCATTAATTTGAATCATCATTATTAAAATATATCAGGGTAGAACCCGAAATAATTAATGCGATAATTTTTAGCGTACTTGGTGTAGCTACTAGTCTATAATGGCTCAGTTACACTGGTCGTTGGATTCAGCACGCGGATTTCATGGTCAATAAAACAAGGACCGGCCAATACACGCCGCACGTGCATGTCATCGACCAGTGTAAATAGGCCATAAACAATAGTTTTGGAGTTGTAAACAAACACCATACACTTCATATGTGTCCTCACTTCATCATCACAATATTTATTTATATTTGTGTTATATATAACAATAAAAGGTTAGTGAGTCATAGATGGTTCGTTATAATCGCCTCTATCGAGGACATGCATCGATTTAGAAATTAAATGGCGGTGATTTTGAACGCCTACTCTGTCTTTGTTTGCATGAAGCGTTTTTAGGTGACTGTACTTAAAAGTTACAAGTACATTAAAATCCTAAGTCTGCGCAATTTTCGCAAAAAGTATCAATGTATTATTAATATGAAGTTAAGCTGGGTCCAGTTTCACTTAATATTAATAATATACAATATTTGATTTAAATAAGGTATTAATAGTAGCAGTATTTATACCTCTTTAAAGCAGTATCACTTGCAATTAAACTTTTTTATTGATAATCTCTTCATCGATAGTTTTTATGTATAATCTCTAAAAAATACCGATGCTATGTAGCAGTGTTGTAAATAGAAGAAAATCTAACTTGGAATTTATTTTGTTCCTACCAACAAGACAGTTTTCTAATTTCAAAAAGACGTTCAAATATTCAGGTCTCGACGATGCCATGACACACTGTTGCATCTCGGCTATAATTAACTAAATTGGTTCCGCCTGGACTGGTAGCCCAATTTGACACATGGTGGAACTATCAAAATCTTCATCGTGAGCCTAGAGCATTAGAGACATAAATATTTCAATCAGTCGTAAACTACAGTAAATGGGGATTTATTCTCAAGATTTCCCGAATTCAAACTTTTGATGTTCAGCTAAATCTATCAGCTAATCAACGTTGCTGTATTAGAATTAATATAATTGGTGTAAATTATTCTTGGATTCGTCATATGGTTTTTCTTTATTCTAATAAACGTGAAGTCTATAATGGGACTATAATTTTTAGGGGTTTATGTCAAAAAGTTTAATGAAATAAAATTACTAAGAACTAAATAAACGACCTCCGAGATTAAGTGGCTCACAAACCGGTTTTATTTTTTCACAATTTCTGTAGTCCCAGGTTATCCGTATACCCGCACGGATCAATGTTCTATATGATTGTTTCGAATCTGGACATAGTAGTTGTCTATGTTTCAGATTTCCGTAATTTTAATAAGGTGGGTGCACCAGTAGAAAACCGATCAAGCAACATTTTGGAATTAGATAATTTTGATGATGTGACTCAATTACTGGTATTATATATATAATTTCATTAAAAAATGTGGCAAGTTACTATGTGTCTAAGCTGATTTTGTAACATCACAGAGAAGCATCTATTGAAAACATAGATAGTTGTCTATGATGTATCTATTGAAGAGTATTTATTAAAAACATTTGATAGAATAGACCGAAAGAAGCTTTGAGGTATATACCGCTGAGATATAGGTTTTATTGTATCCTGCTGCAAAATATGCAGTCCACTTATGATAACTGTTCAACATGTGTCCGGGTGCTACGACAAGCTGTCGGCCTAATTTGGGATTTGCTTTATGGAATCGTAAGCCTTGCACAAAATTCATGCAATCTGAAAACTCCAGTCACAATTATAAGAAATGATTGTATGAGAGGCTTACAATTGAATGCAAAGAAAACAAAGATTATGGCATTTGTAAGACATATGCCAGAACAAATGTAAGACCTTTAACAATAGAGATAATGCAAAATACTGGAAAATTCTTGGTAGCTCATCCTTAAGCCAGAAATATCCACAATGCAGTGTTGATTTTTGGAGAATGCATTTATAATGAAGAGAAAAGATGAAGAGAGAAAGAGAGTTGATCTGAGAGACAGTGTCCAGGGGAAAATTACCAAGGCATGTCCCAGAGACGAAAGATTTGATTATTTATTTGCATTATATAGGCTCCAAAATCACTAAATCATTTTTCAACAGTATTACATCATAAGGCTAAAATTTATGGTACAGGAGTTGACAAAATATATGTATTTGATATATGGCAAATCCATATTTTCTAAACTCTCCACATTTCCTAATGGCGCTTACTTTTTTTGGTTCATAAAAAGTGTGCTTAAAAGGTAACATGGAATTATTGAGTTCATGCAAGAATTGCTAGAATTAAGTCAGAGTCAAATTGTGGACAAACTCTATTGACAATTTCTAAAAATCAAAGCGAAAAAGTTTCTGACACTCTTAAAAACAATTTATGGAATGAAACTGTTTTTGTTCTTAGTTTCTTAACATTTTTCTATAACTCAGTCTCAAATCACAGAACGGCTTAATATCAAAAATATAATAAAATATGTGTAATTGTACAAAGTGCAAATATTAAAAAGTTTTTTGTTTTTTGTTTTCATTGGTCCATTCTAGACAATTTTCTCTATCAAAAAAAACATGTTTAATAGTTTTTTAAAATGATTCCCTGTTAATAATAAGTCCTAAAATACAAAAAGAGTTTGTGTAGTGTTTTATAATTATCATGATAATTATCAGTTCGAACCCTGCTTAACCCGTCTCGCGATTTTTTGAACACACAGGTGTGCAAACGCTTCAAGTGCGTTTTGTGACTTAATCGCGTGACGGGTTAATATGCTGTAATAAGGTACATTTACCTTAGTATAAAGAAATTTGTATTGTAATAAATGCTAGATAACATCATATTTGCTGTTTCCAAGTAGTCAAAGTCTCTATAATATGGAAATCTTAAAGATACAGTCAACAGCACATTAGATTATATAAAGTCAAAGTCAAATTTCTCCACTTGAATTTAAACTTTAACACTGTTAAAAATAGAGTACAAAATTGAGGATATTGGAATTATTGGATTATGGGACATGCAGCTGTGTGTATAACATCTAAACATGAGACAAAATAAGAAATGTTCAAGTAAAGGGTTTATTTTTAATCTGTCTTGTTAGATTATAATGATTCTAGAACATTATAACTGCTGATGCTTAAAATTTCAGTGTTTGTACATAATGAATTAAACTTACACTCAAATATTACAATAAAATATTTACAGTTTGTACACCTAAGATTTTTGCATATTAATTTAATTGAATTTAATGACTCATTGATCATTGTTGGGGTATAAAAACTATAAACACAGTATGTTATGAAGTCATAGATATAAATTTATATTTTGGGGTTGACTTGACCGCACCGAGGATCAGGTTTATTATATTACTTATACCTATAACTAATAAAAATTGTATGAAAAGTTAAATTATAATAATAACAACAGTAAAAAATTACGATTCTGGTGAATGCAGATGTTTTTGTAGAAAGAGGCTTTCACGCAGTTGCTCAAACATCTATTACATTTGTCATCAGTGAAAAGCTACATTAAAAAACAACTTTTCAAATTTAGACTATTCATTAGAACAAAGTTGTTATTAATCTATAAGGGTTGTTTGTCCAACTGACTGGTATCATATGAAACTGTTTCATCATATTTGATAAAAGTAGTAAGAAAACAATTAGATTTATATAATATGAAGGTTTCCGATTGAAGAACAATACTAAACTTACTTCTAGTAAAAGTAGATATACAGTAGGGGTCAGATAATGTTGTTCAATTATTATTAACCAGTTTTAAAAAAGCATTATTTTTATTTATGAGAAAATAATTATTACTATAGTTTATAATGCAAAAGATTACATACAAATAAATATTAAGAGGCATTGAGGTCAACCTCTTTGAGAGAGAATAAATTTCGCAATAGATAGGATATTCACCAAGCCGAATACAATATCAGTGTAGGAAACGTATTTGCAATACAAAATGAAATAGAGCTATCATAAAATGGAAGAATATTGCTTACCACAAACTTCGGTAACTTTATGTTGTAAATTGTTCAATGAAACAAACAATACGAGGCGAAAGCAGAAAAAACACAATATTGAACGGGATGATTTAGTCGTTAAAAATTTGCAAAGGGTTCCAATACAAAAATGTAAATAACACAATTGCACAACACTATACCGGAAGAAATTTTACGATTGGAAAGTAAATAAATAAGTTAATTTGCGAGTTTTTTTTTTAAATGCAAATAAAATGTAAACAAAACAAACACAAGGATGACACACCAACAGCAAACCGAACATAGACTGATGGTCACAGCACAGAACACTGCAGAACACGATTGGTTGACTGGCTGCGTGCGATTAATCGATTCAATTCGATTGACTTAAATAGTGATGGCTGAGTTCACTCGAGTCAGAGTCAAACTAACAAGAATTTGATATAAGGATGTTTTCTTCTTACAACGATACGAAGTTGTTAATAAATCAAACTTTATGCATTCACTGACTGCACACGTAGTATGACGAACTCGAGAACGATAAGTCTACACAAAAATCACTTTTTTGCTGCCCGCCTATGCGATATCTCACTCTCGTACTAAAGTGACGTTTGGTGTAGACAAAACGTTTCTCGAGGTTGACATACTACGCTTACTGAGCACCATTTAAAAAAAATACAATATTGATCACACGTGACATTTTGATTAGTTCTGTTGTTGACAGTTAAATATTTTTATTAATTTTTAATGTTATCAAATGTCATATGTATTTAAAATATACATGAATCAAAATTTGATTCATTTTATAAAAAAATGAAGTATAGAGTTTAAAAACGCCCTTTGTGATATTTGATATTGTTATACACATAAAGTAAGGGATATTTTTAAACATAATATATTATTTATTATTGTTTGTATATTTAACAAATGTTGAATTGAATATTTTATTTCGGATTATAACAAATCACTATTGTAATGGCGATTGATCGCGATTATGTTCAAGAGTTAATCAAAGATACTTTGGTACAAAATGTCGTAACATTGATAATTTTTTTTATAAATACTAATATAAATATCGATACCAAATTATTCGATATATTTTTTTCAAGTACTCATCTCTACTCAATGTATTTAACCATAGATTAATATTGTATATAGTATTTAATCATAGACCGCAACTTTAAAGTTTTTAACCAACGCTAAAATATCTATACATATTTACGTTTTAATTTTATTTATTTTATTCTTTTAGGGTAGAATTCTCATTTAGTAGCGAATTTTAAAACAAATATAAAGAGAATATGAGACAACCTTTGTGTGTTTTGTGATCTGCACCACTCATCGAATGAGAATTTCCTACAGGTTACGGATAGGTAGCACTTCTTCATACAAGAAGTGGAGATATATACATTTTTTTAATGCAACTTTATATGTTGATAAATATGAAAATCAAAAGAATATCCGGTAAATTACATACAAGATTGTCTTTTCAATTCTCCAAATCACTCAAAGATAACGCCTACAAGTAATATTCATAGCAAAGTTATTGGGAGATGATAATGAGGAAAATTTTGTATAGTAAACACACAATGGCAAATTATATCGAACAAATTATTAATGGAAGAATACAAAATTGTTACATCGAATTTTATTGTGGATGTTATTAAAATGTCATACTTAATGTACTAATGAATAATATTAACATTTTGATTAGTGAACCCCTTATAAAAGTCGTAGTTAGTGGAAATATTAACATTGCTGTTTCGAGTTTAAGTGAATAAACATCGAAAATGTTTTTTTCTCGGGTTTGTTTGTTAATTTTAATATTGTAAGTATCACAATTTGTCTTAATTTTTTTATCTTATAAAGGTTATTCAATAATTATCAAATTTATATTAAGAGGTCGTGACAATATGTGCAAGAGCTTTCTAAAGCTCGATACCTATTTCAATAAGTTGAAGTACTAAGGGTACCTATTATTCAGTACTCAGTGGGGGGTCAAGCACTGAAACATTTGGTGAAGGCGGGGCAATGTAAAGTACGAATAATCGTAACACTATTGCCTTTTAATAATTTAAAATTAACTAAAAACTTTTTCTTAAAATAATAAAAGCAGAATAAACTTATCAGATTGCACAATCGTGAAACAATGACCCAGCTGACCTTCTCACTAGGTACTGAGTCATGCATACCCTTAGTATCATACCAAAATCAGAATCAAGCTTTAGAAATCTCTTTCACCTTTTGTCACGAGCCCGGCGTCTAGTACCTAGTAGATATATTTTACAGTGCGTACATATCTAGACGATTCAGGGGTAATCCTACTTTTACATAGACGTGAGGCAAGGAAACTTTTTAGATGGTTGTTCTGTGATATAAATGTAAATCTCAAATTACTTAATAAAGCACATTATGCTTTTTCGAGATTTATGAAGAATCACTCGCGGCTACGCACAGCAACAGGAGTCCGCTCCGGATCCATCTAGAACTCAAAAAAAAATTTGTGTCGCAACCACCCAAAGACAGGCAGGAGACGCAGTAGGTATGAACTCCTGATAAAAATAGTGCATTCATGTAAAGGAGATGTTTACCAAAATGTATATGTCGCAGTAATAAAAGTTTTGTAGTATTGTATGGTCTGAACGGACCACAACAATATAACGTCACATCTCTATTAGAGTCGTGGGCATGCCCATTATGCGGTACAACGGTGGAGCCCTTGCACACCAACGCCTACAATGGCAACGCCGATGATGTGACACCGCCCAATGGTTAGATTGAATCGCAAAGTAGCGAAAGCCTCTCGCGCCTATAAATGTTGATTAAGTTCCAAGAGACCTTGGAAGGAAACGTATGCCTTCTGTTAAGTATCTGTCTGCTATGTTATAGATAAAAGATAATTTATATATAACAGGGCGTGAAGATATCAGAAATCAATATACATTAAGAGAACTTTTGATAAGCTTAGCAAATATTATGTACATATTTAATATAAACCTGCCCTGTGCGTTTATATTTCCTCGCTCGTCGCAGACCATCGTATATATAGGGCATATTTTTACCTTCTTAACGTGGAAAGAGATCAATTTTCGATACGTTGATTTAAATTTATTGAATTAACCTGTTTTATTTTGTTTTAGGAAATTTCCATTTTTAATAAGAGCACTATACGTAAGAGAATGGCCTGATTACACCCCGTATGTAAGAAGCACTCTGAGAGACATTTTAAAGAGAGAGCCTAACATCAAATCACGACCTATACCGGACGGCAGGATTCCAGCTACTTTTGAGGATCCACCAAATCGGATTAATTGTTCCGAAAATTATAAATATGTTGACTGCAAGATAACACAAAATAATGAGAAACGAAAATATTCCTCCGATAAAATTGTGGATATGTATAAAAATTGGGTAGGTACTACTCGTTCGTTTTGAGGGGCAGCCTTGGGGTAAGCCCACAGGAAGCCCAGGTGGGAGGCCCGGGCGGCACTCTCGAAATGGAAGGCGGCAAGGGGGGTGGGATCGCGTATTAACGCATCCCTCCCTTCTGCGGATCGGCGGACGAGGGCTGACACCCCACCCGCACCCCCCTGGGATTAGCCCACGGGGACGATCCACCGTTTGGGAAAAGGCTGTTATTCACCCAAGTCTTTTCCTTCCCGCAGAGGGCGACTCCTCTTCCCCCCGAGAGGAGACCCAGCGCGGCGGAAGAAACCGGGCCCTTCTTGCAGGATACCGGGTTCTTCCTATCCGTGTGAGGTGAACCGCAGCGGGTTTTACCAGGTAGGCCTTTCACACCAACCTGCCCTTTTTAGGGCGGGGTGGAAGGAGAGCCCTGGTTTGAGGCTTAAAGTGCATTTCCCCTGCGTTAACAAAAAAAAAAGGTACTACTCGTTCGAGTTAATTTATTCATCGAAAATAATTTGCAAGTAGAATTTGTGCAGAAGCCTTAGAAAATTATAACTCAATTTATTTACCTTAAAACTAACATGTTTGTATGCTTGTGTTGAACTAAAAATTTTGATACACAAACCGTTAAAAACGAAGACTGCAGTTAGTATTTAGTTTAAACCATTGGCCAACCAAAGCAAATTGATAATTACAGCACAGCGATTCCGTAAAAATCCGAACCTGAATACGAATTCACTCATGTCCAAATTCACTTAGAAAATGAGGTGATTTTCGAAATGACACAGGGATATAATATCTGAGATACGTAAGAATCAATCAATATTATTTTGTTTTTTATACAAAAAATTGAATCAATAAAATTTCTACGCTAATAGAAGTTAAGCGGATTCGTTTTTCTAAATAAATTCTGACCACTTAAGTGAATTCTAATTCGAGTTCTGATTTTTAAGTAATAGCTCTGCAGAAGAGAAAACTTCAAATTGAGAGGTGTTGTGACTTAATTTAAGCGGATAATAGTTTAAACATAGTGCCAAAATTAATCTTCGTTTTATAATAAGACGGTACAGTATGTTTTTTATATGCTATGATTAGGACTATTAATATTATTAATAGTCCATAGCGTTATAAATTAAACCATGGAGCTTTTTCGCCAATGCAATACGCCTTAAGGACTAGTTCTTTCATCTGAATATTTATTTATACTAAAAAGTATTGTATAATTAAGTACATGATCATAAGAGATTAAGTACAGTAAGTCTGTTGTTGTGCGAATAAGATGGTTAGACATAAACTCTTCTTTGTTTTTTCAACACTTCTTTGCGTTGCTTTCTAGTTATCACACTAACACCCCTATTAATGTCCCCACCATAGAGTATAGGTACTTTATAGTAATGTCTGTCTCCACTGCTAGGGCTCAGGCCTTCTCTACGGATTACGGATTGAAACAACGCGGGCTCAGTACGGATTGGTGGGTGTTAATGACTGCAGATGCATAGTAAATTTTTAATCACCCCTCTTATGGCCGGCCATTGTGAAAGCTGCTTAACAACCGTATCCCAGACCGAGTGCGCTAACCACTGCGCGAGTTATAAATATTTAATATATATTAATATTTCTTTCAGTATTTCGTATACGAGTAAATGGGGATTTCAAGATTACTTATGACTGATGACCTCGCTATAAAACGACCACGGCTGTATTTATAAGAATTGTATTAATATTATTTATTGCAGTGATTAAAAAAATATAGCTTTCATATAAACGTTATGTATACATTATGCTAAGAACAATATGAAAAATGCTTAAAACAATCTATCGGCCTCAGGTACATTTTCTCGGGTTTCTCAATCCTAGTGTTATTAACAAAAAAGGTTTAACGCCAGAGTAAATTTACGCAATTTTTGTATTAGTCCAAATTCA